CCCCCCCCCCCCCCCCCCCCCCGACTGCAGGGCCGGTTCAAACAATTGTATTTCCCTCTTAAAGAACCAAAGGGGGGTGAGGGGTGTCTAAGGGCTGGCTACCGAGATAGCAAGGATGTTGCATTTATTTATTTATTTATTTATTTGGCTCTGGCTGAGAAGCAAACCGGCGTTGAGTTTAGCAATTCTCAACACTGATTTTTCTGGGTGACACTTTAGTTTAGTAGAACATAGACGGCGCCATCACTCCACTGATTTTTTCCCCAATAGAAGACCACTGCCTCCTCTTATCTTAACTTCCTTCTAGTCTAAAATTTTCCCTCATAAAATTACCCCAATCACACACAATCGCCAGATTTTCTAGGTCTCTCTGCCTTTTCTTTCGACCCAGAACATACCCTGAAAACCAGACTTCTCTAACTTTTCAACTGCGGCGTTTAAGTAAATGCAGACAGTCGGCTTTGCTCACAGCCTCCCCATCCGCCAGCAACAGCCTTTCGTCTCCTGTTCTCCCTCAGCGAACACCGAGCCCCAAGCTCCTCGGTGGCGACCCCCGGCAGAGGAAAGGTGACCTCTGGACCCCTTCCTTACCTTCCACTCCGAAAGCTCAGGGAGGCTCTTGCTCTAAGACACCAGCACAGGCACGCGTCCCAGCAACAGTGACGGAGAGACTCCCCTTCGGTCCCAATCACCGTTGCCCATTTTCCCAGGCTCAGCTTCAAAAATCAGGATTTATATTCAAAAATGCACACATATGAGAAGCAAAAGATGGGGGGGGGGCTAAGGGGGAAGAGGAGAGAAAAAAAAGCCCCCCAGGAGCCTGAAGCCTTACACCGTGTCCAGCCTCCAAACAGAGAGGGGTGGGGGGAGAAGCCCCCCGAAGGGAGGCTCTAAGAAAACAAATCACAAAAAAAAAAAAAAGAAAAAAAAATGGTAGTGGCTTAAGAGCGAAGATTTGTTTCACCAAATCTACCCCCCCAACAAACCGATTAGCCAAGAAGCAAAGAAAGCGCTGAGAAGTGACCGGTGGCGGCGGCGGCGGCGGCTAAGGCAGATTTGTTGGGGCGGTGGGTTTATTACAGGACGTTCGTGGCCGGATCGGAAGGCTCAAGCTTATGCTTTTTTCCTCTTTCCGCTTGCCTCCCTCCTCCTCCTCCCCCCCGCAGGTACTGATGGACAGACGGCGACTGAGGAGAGGGGTAAAAAATCCTTGGCTGGTGATGTCGGAAAGCTGTTTGAATGCCCAGCGAGGAGGGAGGCGCGAGAGGGAGCGAGATAGTAAAGCTCTGTCTCGGGTGTGCGCGCCGGCGCGAGGCGCTTGCTCTCCCCGGGCGCGCGCGCTAGGGCTGCGCGTTCCCCGGGCGCGCGCG